CGAACTTAAGTGGACACACTGTATAATAAACGGTAGTGCGCTACGTGTATGTCACTGACCAACTAGCGAGCGACTGTTAGTGGGCAGCAGCGTTGCCAGGCCCAAAATTTTATTTCCCCAAATTGTGTTTTAAACGTTGTCAGATTTTGAACAGAATTCCAAGATTTATATACTTCAGTTATTGTAAACATACAATATTATTATAAAACAATATTTCATCACTTATGCATAATTGCTATTATGTTTATTTATCATTTCAATTCATATTTGAAAATTAACAGCAGTTTTATTTTGAACTTGATTGACTCAGCAATTGATATTCCGCAGTTCAACCTTTCGCGGTCCGCCTGTTGCCGAGCGTTTTTATAGACCATCATCAGCAGGTAGCTCCTCCACATCAAACATTATATTTGCTACCGATGATGTAACTACAATGGGACCATCCGATACTTCAGTCGTGGCGAAGCCTGGCCTAAAATACTTTATAAATACTTGTACGTAAATTCATCAAACAAATGTACATTTCTTCAAAATAAAAGTATATGTAAGACTATATGTTATTTGTGTTTGATATAGTCAATAGTAATGGAAATACATACCTTAAAAACAGACATAATTTCTGCTCAGGAGTCAACAGATTTGGAACACGGTTTGTTGGTATTGCACAAAAATCTTTTTTATATATATAATATATATATATATAATATATATATATATATATATATATAAATATATATTATATATATATATATATATATATGTTACGAGCAATGTCCGAAATTGGAGGACAATCCTAGCATTGTACGGAAAATCTTGTCCACTTCTAGCATTGTACCCTTTACTGTAACAATCTCCGAAATAGACATAATCGTCGGACTTTGTATAAAGGAATTGCTGTACAATGTTCGAATTTCAATAAGCCAATAAGTAGCAATGCGTCAAAGTTTGGAAGAATATGACAATATCCGATTATTTTTATGATTATTCCCCCATTTGATATTAAACAAACATCAATTGCGATATAAAATCCTAAATTATATCTATTAATTAGTTACTGGAACTTGAAATATATTAAATTAAATTTAATTAAACTTCATTTATAAACTTAAATATATTATAGTTTATTCGTCTTCGGGTTTGGACCGTGTCATTTGTGAGTGACCCAAAAGTGGGTTCATCTCGACGTTTCGCTACAATTGTATGTAGCTTCTTCAGGAGAACAAAAAAGAAAAAAGAAGAAGAAAAACAAAAGAACAGGAAGATGGGTAGTTAGCAACGGTAACTCAGTTACTCAACGCAACCAGAGGCGAATACTAATTACCAAGATGGCTATTTGGTCACAGTAACTCAACTACTCAACGAAGCCAGACGTGAAAAACCAAATGCCAGGACAGGGATTCACGTCCAACAACTCAGAAACACTAACGCGTCGAGAGGCGGGGAGTGAATCCGACGATTACTCCGCTACCGCTCTATTTATAGTCGCGGTGCCTGTCGTGTCGGGACGTATCGGCACACTTCGTGGCGCGAACGTCAAGAAGGCGCGCGTGGCCAATCATGTGGCTGCATCGTAGTGGCGGGACCGGACGGCGGTTCTAGACTGAGATTCCAGATGGGAGACAAGTAGTATCCTTCCTCTCGATTGATATTATGGGGATTTTTTCGGATCTCTAGAGATTCGCGGATTTTCCTGGAATAAAAGAAGGGGCTTTAGAATATAATATGGGTTTTTTTCGATACAATATGGAATGACCGGTTTCTGGCAGTGTTCTGCAACAGCAGAATGGGAGAAAAGACCTGATCGAATGCATCTTTGATGCTCTTGAATCCGAGTTTTGACGGAACGACCAGTTTCGCCATTATACACATGTCCACATGAACAAGGAATAGAATAGACACCACAGGAAGATAGGGGCGGTAATGGGTCCTTAGGAGAGGGTAGATATTGTGAGATTCTCTTGGGTGGTCGAAAAGTAGTCCTGATACCCTTCTTTGCGAAGAATTTTGCCAATCCTATCAGTGACATTTCGAATATACGGAAGAAAAGCCACAGGAGTATTACCCGAAGATTCTGAATTTGTCGTCCTAGGGTGTAAAGGGGGATGTAGATGACATTGCCGTTGTGAGTTAATGATGTTGATTTCGATTTCTGAACCCGAAAAACCCTTAGAGAAGAACTTGGCCATCCTGCAAAAAACCCTTGTCGCCAACGGTTACTCCAAGTCCCACAATCCAAAATATTACACACCGACATCTACAATCCCCTAGTTGAGTTACTGTGACCAAATACCCATCTTGGTAGTTAGTATTCGCCTCTGGTTGCGTGAGTAACTGAGTTACCGTTGCTAACTACCCATCTTCCTGTTCTTTTGTTTTCTTTCTTTCTTTTTTGTTCTCCTGAAGAAGCTACATACAATTGTAGCGAAACGTCGAGATGAACCCACTTTTGGCTCACTCACAAATGACACGGTCCAAACCCGGAAGACGAATAAACTATAATTCTGACTCTGGCCGTGGAAGCCTACGATTTCATTTAAAAATATATGTTTAATAAAATTAATTAATATTATATCGCATGCTCTTTCGCGATTTATTAAAACGACATGACAACACTGCTAAATACAAAACTTTCCTTTATTTCTTCAACGGAACTTATTATATACCTACTTTTATGTGCTTTTATCTATCACATATATTGCAGAACAATTTCTTCGTATTATTTATATTTTTAGTTTGAGACCAGCATTTTATAACGATGTCTAGAAAAAGTGCAACTTTGTATGTAAATAGAAAATAAAAAATATCAAATAATTAACAAGAAATGTTCGATTTTTGATTTAATGTGTCGCTTGTCAATAATAATCGATTCGAATCGATAAGCGTCTCTACAGTTCTATTTTTAAAAAGGTCAGATTCACTTCTATTATTCTCTTTCTCTGATTCCTCACCATCTAGCACTACTAAAAGAGCTACATCTCGAGGTCGTCCATGGTCGCTCGTTTTTAACGCAAAACAGTACATACGACGCTTTCTGAGTTTACACATTTCATTGCCGCAATAAAGGAACTTGATTTTTTCCCACCGCAATCTGACGTCATTCATCACAATATTACGGTCACAATTTGCCGGTACCGCTTACCGGGAAAACCAAAGCTTAGGGGTTGCACCGTTCTGGGAAACTGAAATCAGCGTTTGAATAGTTGTCGCTATTTAATAAATAAGTGCTGCTTTCTACTAAATGACACGTGAGCTTATTTTTTCATCTATTAGGTGACAGCCGATCTAATTTCTCACTAGAGACCGACCGAATGTGATTTTTTTGGCCGATGCCGAAGTTCAGCCTGTAGGAATTCTTCGGCCGAAGCCGAAGGTGACTAAAAATATACCTTTTATATTTTAATAATTTAAATAATGTGCATTATATTTTTATTAACTGATAAGTGATAAACAAAAATATGAAATTATGAGATAAAAAAGTCAAACATTTATACATTATTTGGTAATAGAAGCGATAATAAAAATAAAAAAACATTAAAGCAAGTGAGTATTTCTGATTACTGGATCTGGTAGCTAATATTCGAAATCAAACATCCTGATATTATACATAAGAAAAAGAAGCTTGTCAGCGTTTTCTCCTACTAACACATTAGTTGTTCTGTCAGCGTAGAGTTGCCCAGCAGAGCTGAATAACTGCTCACTAGGTACACTCATTGGTGGTGCCGATAGAAATTTTTTGGCTGCAGTTTTTAAAGAAATATAGGGACTTGATTCCCAATAATGAAATATGTCGGCACTTCTTAAAAGCAAAGCCTCTCGTAAATACGAATCTAGGTAATCTGCATTGGGATCGTTGTCGTTATGAATTTCTTGTGTTGTATCTAGAACGGCTGTGACAAAATTATCATGTGAAGTTCAAAGACTATTGTTTTCTAAATCTACTACATGTGTAGTTGTAGATGATGATGTTGAAGTGATAGCCGTAGGAACTTTATTTGTATAACTAAACTTAGAGCTATCATATTCACGTAATATATAATATATAATATTTGCTTTACATGTAATTACTTCCTAAAATATTTTGATTTAAATCCCGTCAAATATTTTGATTTAAAGTGATGATCTAGAAGAGTCGCAATAGACAATGCTGGCAAATTTGTAATATTAGCGAATCTTTTAATTAATGATTCTGGAAGTTGTAGCTTTAATAAACTTATCTCCTCAGAGTGAATCTTCTAATATGTGTAATAATTCATCATCTGAGATTGGCTGAGAAGTTTCCCACCTACCTCGTTTAGAAGTCGAAGGTTGGCAATATTCATCATTCATTTTAAAAATAATTTAAAATTGAAGTATTTAGCAAAACACGTGCAATGACTACAGTAAAATCAAAAAACATCTAACACCGAACGCGTACAAAATATTAATGAATGCATAGCAAAATAAACAGACGGGATTGGATAATGATAATACAACAAATTATTGGAAATGCAATATAATTTAAATACATCTGGTGATTCTTTCAAAGCTTGCCAATGCTTTTACTTTTATTACTTTACAACCTTTTATTACAGCTAATTTTGTCGTTTTCGAGCACGTCTAGCTTGAATATTTAAAAAGTAAACAATGAAATTGAGCGTTTCATATTTTTCATCCAATTTTATCAATGGGACAGACGATATTTTTGTTATAATTTGTGAAAAATCCGCCAAGATAACATTTATACATTGTCATATACTTAGAATAAAGTTTAACATAAAAATTCGAAAACCAGACACAAACTCCAGTATATGCAAGTGTTTCCAAGCGGCCAGCAGATATTTTTAATTCGTGAAAAATCCGCTGAGATAACGTTCATATATTGTCATATAGTCAAAGACCACGCGACTCGCGTTGGTGGCCTCTGAGGCTATATTCACTAAACGCGACAGTTGCGTTGTCGGACTTGAACGTGTTAACTGTTTTATTCATGTATCTATGCAAAACAAAAAAAAGACAAAATTCTGATATACCAGTTTTATTAAAAATTTAAAAATTACTAATATCAAAAACGCTGACAAAAGGGATATCTACAAAACAAAATTTAATCACTGACCAATTTTAAAAAATGATGGTGGACCGATGTAACTTAGATCTACAATCCAATAGACGCATTTCCAGATTTTTACAATTTTCAATAATATAAACTAATAGCTAAAATAAAACTTTATTAACGTTCCGGCTGCCATATTAGAAGCCGTTGCAAAAAAAATAATTTAAAATTGACAAAATAGTTGAAAACTTGTTTATAAACAATTACCAACTGTCAAATCCTATTCTCAACTGCCAAAAGACAATTTTTAACTGTCAAAATACGACTTTTGTTCGTAAATTCCAAACGTTAAATAAAGTCCATTTTTCGAATTTTTTGGCATTTTTCTAATAATAAACAGCTTCAAATTCAAAACAGATTCCTAAAATTATGTATTAAAAGAATCTGATAATTATTAAAACACTGTCCAATCTCTTTACACCGAGCCACAAAAATAACAACTTAAACACGATTTTCTTTTACTGCGTTTTTTCATCCATATGAAAAATAAACTTAAAACTAAAAGATACAAATACACTAACTTAGTTTACGAAATATATAACATTCATGTAGATGGTAAATCGAAAATAAACAACAATGAATGGACCTTAAAAGAGTAATACTAGTTTTACAAAAAGTAATCTGCTTGGGGTTTCTTTGAAGGTATTCCCCTGGTTTCCTGTGGGGCTGCTTCGAAAATTGTGAAATCTCTTTGTAGGTGTTCGTTCAGTTCTAAAATGGCGGCCACGTTACCACATCTAAAAAATAACAGATATAAATACACTTGCGAGCAAAAAAATCGACTTAAAAGTCAAATAAGTTATATTTCTTCACTACACTGTTTGGCCATATAATATAAAAGTAAAATATCAGGAACAGAACTAAATTTTATTGCAATGACACCGATATTTATAAAGTTAGTAAGTAAAAAACACAACAAAGATAACTTAATATTGTATGTGGGAAAACATGTTATGAATTAGTCATTGTGTAATAAATATAAAAGTAAAATAACATAAAAAATCGAAATTAATACTCCTATGAGTATTTCCTCCTATGATTCGTATTACACTTTCCATGCTTAAGGTCCTTATTAAGTTTCTGATTGATTCCTGAGAAATCGCTTCCTACTGTTCATCTAATGCAGGTTTTAGTTCCGCCACTATCGCCAGTGCTGGATTACAGACCCAAATCCTGCGTTCATCCCATAGGTTCTCGATGAAATTCATATCCGGACTCAATGGACCAGTGCATTGTTGTTATATTGGTGTTTTCCAGGTAATCTTTCGTAATCCGCGCTGTATGACATCGAGAGTTATCATGCATTAGCATGAAGCCGTCGCCTATGTACGTCGCAGGCGTAAGGAACATGGTCTTGGAGAATATCCGCGACTTACCACCGAGCACGAACACAAGCTCATCTTTTTCTTGTAGTGCATATGTAGTGCATTGTAAAGATATACGAACCACCTCCACAGCTAACTGTTTCAACACTGCAGCACTGAGCAAATGGTTTTCCGGGCCTCCGATAGACGCGTCGTCTTGTCATTGTTATACAAGCACATTTGACCCTTATCAGAGAATAAAACTCTTCTCCATTGACCAAGGTCCCGATTAAAGTGTTCTCGGGCAAACTAAAGTCGAGCTTATTTCTGACAGACGCTCAATTTGGGCCCTGTGTTAGCTCGTCTGGGAGTCAAAGTGTCAGCCTTAAGTTTTCTCCCAATTGTCCACTGAGTGACAGGGACAACTCGTACATTCCTCAAGGATTGTTGAAGCTCAACTAATGTAGCGTGCCGATTCCGAAAGGCACTCAGGACAATGAATCCATCATCCCTCTCTGTCGTTACACGTCGCCGACCCGAACCTGGTCGTCGACAGGGGGCGCTGAAGATTTCAAAGACGGATGATAACTTCGGGAAAACAAATCATTTTGTTATTTAATCCCTAAACTATTAAACGTTTAGTATAAATCATTTACACGTGTGTTTTGCCAAAGTAAAAGTTGGAGTATGTTCTTCGAAGTTTATTTGTTTGTGATTCGAGTTTATACATAAGGTAATTGACTTCCAAACCTGAATAAAAATTAAATTAAATGTTTGTTTTTCTACAGTATGTCTGAAACACGGGAAGTAAAATTTACATTATCCTAATTATTTATATGGTTGCAAGATCGGCAGAGATCTTTGGTTGAGGGTGAGGCAGTTTTTGGACCTGGCCACGTTATATTTTGTAAATTACGCCTTACGTTTTCTACTAACAACTTCATGAGACCGTTGAGGCAATTTAGCTGATGGAACAGCATTTTCTTCAGTCTTCTCAATTTAGTTTCAGGTGTTATGTATTAATGTATTAAAAACACTTGGAAGGTAATCGTTCTCAGTAAATGTAAACTGCACACAGTCATGTACTTGGTTATAGGTTTGCCAATTCGCAAAACGCATTGCTAAACTTTTCTCATACTCATATTCTCGTCCAGCGGAAACTTATGTATGGAATTTTTGTGTGAATCATAATAGGATGAACATTGAGGTATGTACACTGCAATAGTTTTCCCTAAGTGGATGCTTTTGAAATCTACCACCAGGTGTCGCCCACTTTGCGGTTCCTCGCGAATCGACGGTAACTCCTAGACACTTCAGACTCATAAGTAGGCCTTAGGCGACAGTCTTTTGACTCTAGCCCTCCCGTAATAATGCAATTACCTGGCCGAATATTAAAGTATTAAGATATTTACTTCAAAGTTCATATATTAAGGTTATGTTATGACTTGTTTAAAACTTTAATTGTTTTTTCTTTGTTTCAAGGTACTTTGATGTTTTTATCAGCTTTGAACATTTCTCTTCTATTCACAGAGTCGTAGGCTGCTTTGTAGTCTATAAATATGTGATGAGTATTCATGCCATATTCCAGTGTTTTTTCTAAAATTAGTTTCAGGGTTGCAATCTGATGAATTGTCGGTTTACCAGCCTGGTATTTTCCTACTCTCAGTTCTGCATATGGTGCCATACGGTAACATAGTACTATTTTATACGCTGCATTTAGAAGCATAATTCCTCTGTGGTTAGAGCATTCAAAGATATCTCCTTTTTTGTGTATGGTGCAAAGTATTCCAATCATTGGGAAGAGATTTCTGTGTCCATATATCTTTTATAAGCTGCTTTAATGCTATTATGGTATCATGGCCACCTTCTTTATGTAGTTCAGCATGGAGATTATCTATAAATTTCTGTATCCTGTAGCTGTAAAACATTATAGTGAACAAAAAAAAAACATGCAAGTTTTTTGTATTAGAGAGAGACAGAAGTGAATAAATCTCATGAGGTAAAAGTAGTAGGTAAAACCTCAAAATATGAACTTTGAGAGTAAATATCTTAATACTTTGATATTATTACCTCACAAATTTACGATCAATAAATATTACCAATCGCACAGAATGAACGTTCATAACCAAAAGTCCTTATTTATTCTTTAAACAATTAAAAAATCAATATTTATGGGAGAAATACACGTAAAATACTCCATTACGATATTATTTTCATTGCCAGGTGTTCTTTTGGATACTAAACACAGAGAGGGAGTTTAAGGAAAATGAAACACGTAGTTCATACCAATTTATCAAACATTTAAGACAGGGATACAAACCGAAGACGAGCCTCTGCAAAAATAAAAAGGGTGAAATCATTAGCGATATGGACGAAATTAAGACAACCTGGATGACATATTTTAAGGAATTACTAAACATAGGGACACAACCACCATTACAACAACAGAGGCAGCAGCAGGCACGGCAGCAGGTACAACAACAAGAGCTGGGGGAAGATGGAGAAGAAAATGAATTAACTAGACTCCCAACGCTAAAGGAGGTCCAAACGGCAATCCACATACAAAAAAGCCATAAAGCACCGGGAATAGATAAAATACCGGTAGAACGACTAAAGCAAGGAGGAAGGAATTTGACACAACAGATGTATCAGCTAATACGAGAGATATGGATAGAAGAAGAAAGCCCCCAACAATGAAAGAAAAGTAGAAACTGCCCTATTCATAAAAAAGGAGACAACCTGTTGTGTCAGATTTATAGAGAATTCTTTTTACTTTGTTCGGGATATAAAATACTCACAAACATCGTTAATCAAAGACTTCAACCTCTCACGGAAAAAATCATCGGGAATATCAAGCAGAGTTTAGTCAAAATAGATCTACCATTGACCAACCATTTACAGTTAAACAAATACTAGCCTAAGCATGGGAATATGACATGGACGTTTACAATCTTTTTGTAGATTTTAAACAAGCCTATGATTCAATAGATAGAACAATTTTACCTAATATATTGGAAGAATTTGGCATACCATCAAAATTAATACGACTAGTGCAAATGACAATGACAGAAACAGAAGCAGAGGTATGTATTCAAGGACAGATCACTGATGCGTTTACGATAACGCAAGGACTGAAACAAGGCGACGGACTGGCTCCAACGCTCTTTAATCTTGTTCTTGAATATGTAATTAGACAGTTTGATAGTGAGCGGAAATAACATACAAACAAATCTGCCCAATTAGCGGCAATACGCAGATGATATAAACATAATGAGCAGAACAATGAATGCAGCGGAAGAAACTACGTCGAGTTGAAACAGAGTGCAGAAGCAGTAGGGCTAGCAATAAATACAAATAAAACACAACTACTCATACAAATCAAATCAAATAGACCGGCGCAACAACACTTTATTGACGATATAGAACATGTGAATAGATTCACATACCTAGGAATGGATCTGGTAGCAAGCAATGTAGAAGAACAGGAAATACATAGAAAACTTGTGCTGGCAAATAAAGCCTATTCTCGCGATGGGTCACATATTCAAATCGCGAGACGTACACCGGAAAACAAAACTCCGGGTCTATAAAACAATAATCAGGCCCATAGTAAGTTATGGTTTTGAAACATGGGTGGTGATAACAGAAATCTGTCAATGCATTAGATGTGTTTGAAAGAAAAATATTACGTAGGATACTGCGCCCAATAAGTGAAAACAAGAACTGGCGAATTAGGTATAATAGAGAAATATAAGAGCAATATAGCGAACCAACTCTAGCACAATACACTAAACTGCAGAGATTACGGTGGGCAGGGCACATGGAAATGCAAGAATGCAGGGAAAAAGACCTGTTGAAAGACCTAAAAAGAGATGGGAAAACGAAGTCGATGAGGATGCCAGGAACTGCCTGGGAACGCGTTCATGGAAAAGAACAGCGGTAGATCGAAATGATTGGAGAAGCTTGTTGAAGGAGGCCAAGGCCCGATTTGGGCTGTAGTGCCATTTTATGGATGGAGTGTGTTCTTTTGACAGTCATGTACTTGGTTTTTGTTTTGCTTACGTTAAGCCCTTTTTTTCGTGGATCAGGATTAATTTCCTTGAACACTTTCATTAGTCGCTGCTTGTCAATGCAATAATTTGTTCTGATTTGGATTAGAATAAGAAGGAAATTACCGCTCCGATTTTGTATCTACGAAGATTTGAAAGGAAATAGTCAAAGAAAAACAAAATAGCCCCAATTGTGTTTAATCGCCATGTATCTTTCAACCGTGACTTTCAACCTTTACATCGTCAAACTTTTTTCATAGTTCACACTTCACAATACTGCCCTACTTTCTCTGCCTTATTTTCCTATACAAACGTCAATACCTTAATCCTACACAATCTTGTGTTTCTTCAAACCTTCAAACACCCATTTTCTACAATATCGCCACACCTTCCTCTCACAAATTTCTGACCCCAATTTTAACTTCAGAACCATCCACATCCATCATACCAACATATCACTATCTTATCCACTCTTCACTTCTACATCGCATTCCTGTCAATTCTGTTCTCTTTCATTATTTCTTGGTCATCTCATATATTAAACATGTATCCAATAGTTTTTAATTTAGTAATCACTCAAACATTATCTAACAATTTATTAAAATTCATAATCTACCATATTACAAAGATCCTAATCTACCTTTGTCCACCTTCTTTCGGTCAACAACTTAGTAGCACACTTATACAACAAATTTCAGGTTTCTACAAACTGAATTTAATACCACCAAAATAGATTTTGTTCAGGATGCTAGATACTTTAAGTATAAAGGACCCCTATTATCTCTAATTGTTGATCAACTCCTTTTCTCCTTTAACCGCCCCCCTCCTTTTCTTCAGTCATTTCCTTTATTTTTATTCTCATTAGTCTCTGAGGAACCTAGCCTCTTCAATTTTAAATTCAATTCACATATGTTACTACTTCAATTTCTTCAGCCTGTAGATTTCCATCTTACTAAACTTAATTTTATTAGTTTTTCACCATAGGAGCAGTCTTAAATAAAGTCATTTAAATATGAGGTCTGATATTAGCTTCAAATATTTGTTATTTAATTTTTACCTTGTCCTAGATGTGTTAAACATAAAAGGATAAATTTCATATATATAAGCTAACCCAATATTAAATACACTTTAGACCACATTCCATACGACGAAAAGCAACATAAGTTGCCTAAGGCACAGGTCTATCTATTAATCATGACTATAAAACCATCATTGATTTGACATCTTTTATACCCTAAATTAATAAATAAAAAAGTTTTTAAATCCCAACACCTAGATTGTTGTTATTTTTTAAAATCATCAAAACTTGTTGAATCTTTTGGCTGTAGTAATACTATGTACAACTATTATAGTTTTTGTTACATTGACATTCTGTTATCTTCATCCTTCAAAAGTATCTTGTCAATCAGTTCCACGTTGTTCTCCGAGTGCAGAGGTTCCCTCTCACCGGCTCTGGAACCAGATTGAGCCATGTGTTACCTATAGTCTAATTTAATACTGAACATCACAGTTATTTTACAACAAAATGTACAACATTTCATAACTAAATGTAATTTAAAGGGTTTTTATTTTTGGCGGCTCAGGCATTGTGACCTAGTAAGTATAACCATCTTTTGCTTTTCAACCATAGTCAAAATTTCACAATCTCGTTTGTTTTAACTAAATGATTTATACTTATTTTTAGGCATTTTTCGATTTTAAAAACCTGATGATGGACTGTGTGGTCCGAAAACGTTTGTTTTATTGATGTGGCCCCTTTTTTAGGGTTTTTTAAAATAAATATACCCATTTACAAAGATAACCTTTTTTTTCTCGAGAATTTTTTTAAAATTCTCGAAGCTGTGAAGAGTCCATAAACATTTAAATTCAACCATCGTTCGTAAACGTCACTGTGTATTATCGCCGGTATTTATAGCTCAGAATATCCAAGATAATTAAAATAAATCTAATCTAGCAAACTTTTAATCAATGTACAGACTTTCTTAGACGTATTATTGTTTTGAAAGATAAGTTTTACCTGTAACAATAATTCGGAGCTGACCAAACAGTTAAAACAGTCTCATTAAAATGCCATTTGTATCCTTCCATTACTAACTGATGGGCACGACATATCATGTCTATATCATTGGCAGCATTGAATTGGGCTACTACATCAGATCCAAATAAATAGCCTGCTCCTCTTGGAGAAACTCCCCATCCTTGGGTATCTATAAAAACAGAATATTACTGTTAATAAAAATAATTATGTAATCTTATCTAATAAATTAATACTATCCGTTGGAATAAAAAAAAGGGATAAATTAGATCTAGAAAACTATAGGCCAAGTAGTTTGCTTAACCACCTATACAAGCTCTTTACTCGGATACTGACAAACAGATTAGAAGCAAAACTCGTTTTCTGTGAATTAGAAGAACAGGCAGGACTTCGAGCGGGACACGGAACAAACGACCATTTGCAATGCCTTAAAACTCTAGTTGAAAAGTCTATCGAATATAACAGACCCCTCGCTCTTATCTTTGTCGACTTCCACAAAGCATTTGACACAGTCAAAAAGAGTTGCTATCTTAAAAGCACTATCAGAATGCAGAATAGATTACTGGTATGCAAATATTATTCGAAATATATACGAAAATGCGACAACAACCGTTAACCTCCATTGCATGACTGAGAAGATAAAAATTGGCAGAGGGGTGCGGCAGGAGATACCTTGTCGCCAAAACTATTTATAACAGTTATGGAGTACGCATTTAAACGGCTAGAGTGGGAATCAAAGGGTATTAGCATCGATGGAAAGATATCATCTCAGATATGCCGATGATATTGTTCTCATAACAGACAACTTAGGAGAAGCCAGAGTTATGCTACAACAACTTCAGCAAGTAACCCGAAAGTCGGTTTAAAGATAAACTATGGAAAAACAAAAATGATGACCAACCTCGTCCCCAATGAGCTAATAGAAATCGAAAAGTCGCCCATAGAACTTGTGGAAAAATATGTGTATTTGGGTCACGAAATAAGGTTAACGCGAGATAACCAAACATGCGAGCTACTCAGAAGAATAAGTCTGGGTTGGGCTGCATTCGGAAAAATGAGAGAACAAATATACCGATCCATTTAAAAAGAAAAGCTTTTAACCAGTGCGTTCTACCAGTCCTCACATACAAAGCAGAAACCTTCACAAAAACATCAGCCGAAAAATTGAGAAGGACACAACGAAAGATGGAGAGATCAATGCTTGGAATTAGCTTAAGAAATAGAATAAGAAACGAGGAAGTTCGTAGACGAACCGGAGAGGAAGACATTATCGAACATATTACAAGGCAAAAATAGAGATGGGCAGGATATGTTGCAAGAATGAAAGACGACAGTTGGACAAAAAAATTGCTTGAGTGGAGACCACGGGCTGACAAGCGAAGCCGAGGAAGACCCCCAACGCGATGGACCGACGACCTCAAAAGGAATGTGACCAATTGGATAGCAGAGGCGCAGAACAGAAACAGATGGAAAGATCTAGAGGAGGCCTATGTTCAACAATGGACAACTCAGGGCTGATTGATGATGATGATCCGTTGGAATTCCCCAGATTACGAGACTGGACCGATATCAAACACAAAATGAATATATCACTAAATAATTTCCTTAATGCTGTAACGAATAGTCACCCTTAGTCTTTCGTTACATTAGGTTCAATTTAAATCCAAAGTTTTAAAGGTATTTTACTAAATGATACAAAGTAGGTGTAGCCAGGTACATATTTCAATTTTGAGTTGTTAACGATTGGTAAATAAAATTTTAAGCATAATTTTGTGTACCTATTTAAATTTAATCAGTTAATTGCATTTGTACTTGGAATTCAGAATTACAAATTTCTAGGTACGTAAAGCCAGTGTTTATAAGAGATTAGAAAATTTCTTGGAATTTTATTCAAGTAAAAGTATAATGTTTACTTAATATCAAATTATCACTAAATGGGGCTGCTCTGAGAACAAAGTTTAATTGAAAAGAACTTTTTTCTTTTGTTGTCCATTTAAAACTGAAGTCAGTATAACAACTATAAATATGAGTGATATCGAAATGAATAGTGACGATGTCCTGTACATTCCTGCCACTATTTAAGGAAGTGAAGATGAGTCTGAACCTGAAAAACGTTCTGGTTGTATTAATCTGACACACGATGCAAACTCAATCGTGCTTAACGTTTACAACGGTAAGTATTCGTTCAAAATACTCTTTAGTTAACCCACCTAATACCGGGTGAATTTTAAAACGACCAGTACCAGGTCTGGCGACTTCTCGCCCCAGTAGTTTGGTTCACTTTTAAGCGCAAGGATTCTATTGTTACGATTTTAAATGTTATGGCGTATAGGAACTGTAAATATTTTTATGACTAATTCTTTTGTATTGATTCTCGTAATTTCTAGGTCAAAAATCTACCTGACATCATTTGGGTCCCCTTCGCTAAACAAACAACCATCGAATTTTCTGGGGACTGACGAGCCCGATAAAGAACATACAGTTTTGAGACCGGTTGCCGCTATGTCTACATCGAGAACAGCATAGTATTTTCTACGAAATTCTGTTTTATCGGCTGGATCCATATAAATAACGGAAGACTTTCATTGAGGAGTTAGTCATAAGAAGATCGGGAAACGCGATTTACTTGTAACGAAACGTAACAAATAAATTTGTACAGTTATTTAATAAATTAGTAATTAGCTATCGTGAGTTTTATATAAATTAGTAATTAGCTATCGTGAGTTTTAAATAAATTAGTATATAGACAATAAATTAGAATAAAGACAAATAAATTAGAACTATATAAATATACTACACTATGTATCTCATTGATTGATTAATTACCATTTTTTTTAACTCTTTATTGTCTGTATACTTTGTTTAGTACCAATTCAACAAATTAAAAATCGAAGACAGAAGACAGTCACATTCAGAAACTCACCAAATAATTCTCGCCCCACATACATTTCCGCGAAATCCGACGAGAATATTTAATTATCTGTTCGCGGTATTAAAAGTTTTACTACTTCTTTGTGCTCTTAATACATCAACTATCAATGCTCTCCTAAACCGTCAAAGCGATTGATTAAACCTAACTACGGATATTAATAAAAACGTTAGACCTGGGGCGATAATTCGCCCCACTCGGTATTAGGAAGGTTAATCATATTTAGCGATTAATATTCATAAAACACATAGAATTCCGAGTAAAATTCTTTAAAAAGTAAAATTACATATTTTTTCTTAGGTCTTCTTTCGCGATCAAAAAGACGGTTTTTTGACTCAAGTGCCACGATTCACCGTGTACGAACTTATAAAATACGGTCCAGTGTTGCGAAAAAAAAAAAAAAGAAAGTAACATAACATAAGTTCATAACTTTAAATAAACTTTTGAGTGAATTAAAAACAAAGAAATAATCCCCGAGTGTCATAGAACTATTTTTTGGAGATTTTTTGTTCCATGTTTGTCATTTGCGGCTATAATCAGCTTGTACTTTCGGTAAACTCAACCTAAATAAAAGCTATAAAGCTTCAAGCTATTCAAAACAGTAAGTAAAAAACACAGTGAAACCAAAATGTGAGATAAGATATTTAAAGATCTAGAAACCCTTCAATTCTTACCTTCTGGATCACTCCACAATAAGTCACACATAGGCCCATCATGTGGAACCTCCTGTTTTCTATCAATTACTCTAATTTGGTCTAAGGTTTGAATGGAAGGTGAAAGTCCTCCATGAACACAAAATATTTTACCGTCGATGATGGCAGACAATGATAGGTAGTCGAAAATTTCAGTGCAGTATCTCCAAACAGTGATGGAACCATATTTCCGCAGGCATTCATCATAAAATCCATATACTTGGGTGATTTGGCGAGACTCATGATTTCCTCGAATAAGTGTTATACGATCTGGATATCTAACCTATAAATAAAATAGTCATTGAATAAAATTTTATTAAAACATTTTATTTGAGATGTAACAAGGTGTTGGAAACTACATATTCCATTTTTTAGATGGTGTCTTGGGTGCAACTTATATTCCACCAAGAATATTCGATCTGAATATATTTTTTTATTCTTACATTGCATGTTTACAATCTACTCTATACACAGACTAATAAGTAAATAGTCTGTAAGTAAATTAACCTAAGTTAGGTACCGTCCAGTGACGGTTCTCTAAGTATTGTTGTGGTAGGTCTTCTGGCCATACTCTCTTCAATCTTCTTTCTGCAAGTGGTTTTGAGAATTTTCAGTTGGTTGTTGTGATCAGTGGTGCGATTTTTATATTTTATTGATTCTTTATTATGTCCTTAAGTATTGGGATGTCCAGATCATTGTGCAGTGTTTGGTTAGATACATACCATGGAGATATACTTATTATATATATTTTTGATTGGAATATTTGAAGTATCTTTGTATTTGAAGGTTTACTACAGCCCCATAGTTCTATTCCATATGCCCAAACTGGTATGAATATAGCTTTGTACAGAAGCAGTTTATTTTTAAGAGATAACTGACACCTTTTGTTAAATAGCCAGTTCATATTTTTTATTTTAAGATCTAGTTGTTTCCGTTTAGTTTTAATGTGCGTTGTCCATGTAAGTTATTCATCTAGATGCATCCAAGTATTTGACAACTGGCTTTATAGGAATGGGAGTATTATTAATATAAACTTGTGGACACATAAATTTGCTTGTTGTAAAAGTAATTTCTACTCATTTGTTAGCATTAACACTGATCTGAATAGGATAATAAAAATTCTGACATTAACATATATTTGACACACTGTACTACAATTGAAAATATTGCTACACAGAGCCCTGATTCATCGCTCTACCTATAGATTATAATATAGCCTTATAATTTGCGGAGATTATAATTTTAGAGTAGAGTAGAGTAAATTTTTATTTGCATAAATTTTTAAACAAAATTGAGCAAATAACGTCACATTATTAATTACACATTAAAAAAATATATATTGACATCATACATTTAAAATACATTAATATTACAAATTAAATATGCTGATAGGGCATATTTAATATTTAATAATTAAGGAGAACTATAGGCCAGGCACTCCACTACAGTATAGGGCTCAATGTCAACTAGGTGTTAAAAAAGCTTTCTTTTAAAAGCTCTATAGTGTGTTTCCTGTTGAATGTCAGATGGTAGACTATTATAAAATTTAACACAGGCAGACAAAGGACTTCTCTCTGTTATATACAATCTGTGAAGTGGCAAATTCAAATTAAGGCTTCTTGTATTATATACATGATTGGGAAGCAGGTGATAAAACAAAAAAAAATTTAAAAAGGAATATAATACATTTAAATATATAGATGGCTGAGAAAGTAATTATATTGAGTGAACTGTGAACTACTAAATCTTCTTCTTCAAGTGCCGTCTTCGTTCCGAAGTTTGGCTATCATCAAAGCTATGCGTATTTTTGATGCTGCAGATCTAAACAGTTGGTAATTGGTGCAATTGTACCATTCTCTCAAGTTTTTCAACCATGAATACCTTCTTCTTACTCTTTTTCTTCCTAACTACTAAACTAACTACTAAATAAGTTGTAGTAAAAAAGTTTTGTAGTCTGAAATATTTTGAAATCCACAAGGAAAAAATTCCTGTAGCTGGCTGTATACCACGTATAACAAAAAGAGGTTAATCTTTGTAAATGGGTATATTTATTTAAAAAACCCTTAAAAGGGCCACATCAATAGAACAAACGTTTTCGGACTACACAGTCCATCATCAGGTTATTAAAATCGAAAATGCTAGGTCATAATGCCTGAGCCACCAAAATATTAAGGTAAAAACCCTTTAAATTACATTTAGTTATGAAATGTTGTACATTGTGTTATAAAATAACTGTGATGTTATATATTAAATTAAATTTGACCAAAGGTAACACATGGCTCAAATGGGTTCCAGAGCCGGGCGAGAGACAACCTCTGCGCTCGGAGAACAACGTGGAACTGTTTTGCTTTGTGAACTATTTTGCTTTTTCGAATATTTTTGAGAATGATGGAAAAAGGCTTATTGGTCTATAGTTCTCCATCTTAGTAACATCACCTTTTTTATGAGGTGGCTTGACAATTGCCAGTTTTAAACTTTGAGAAAATTTACCTCTCCTGAAGGAAGCATTAACTATAAAAGAAAGAGGAAGAGAAATCTCTAATGAAACATATTTAATTAATTTGGTTGACATTTCATCATAACCAGAGCTATGCTTGTTTTTTAAGTTATTTATTGTGTGACTTTTTTCTCTGAAACAGGAGTTAAAAACATACAATGATTAGTTTCTACGATATTAATTTGAAATTTTTTTACATATTTTCTTTTTTTTTACATATTTTCTTACAGCTTCTGGCGCAACATTTGCCATAAATTGATTTATTTCGTTAGAAAGCACCTGAGGGTCACCCTCCACACAGAAATTATCTTGATTTTTGGAATTAACCTTAATCTCTTTTACCAATTGCCAAGCCATTTTAGTTTTATTTTTGCTATTTTTAATTCATTCTTTATAACAATTTTTTCGAGATTTAGTGACTAAAGAATTGTATTTGTGTTTTTCTGTCCTGTAAATATCTTTATAATCAACATTATTGGTAGACAGTGTAAACAAAACATCAATCCTAGATTTACAATGTTTTATATTATCATTTTTAAAGTACTTTTGTGATTTTTTTTATTTGCTGTTTTTATCTCTTTGAGTGGAAACCATTGTAATTTGCCCTTGCCTTTGTGGACTTTACCTGATGAAGATGGTTCATTAATGCACTACTCTGTGGATTAAAACAAGTTAACCCCATACATAACTATCATAATTCTTAAATTTATTATTTTGTAACCATCCTCAGTCAGTAACTATAGTCAGAGCCTCTGATTTAATATTTTGGAGAATAATTTTCATCACACTAGCAATTGAATGTGATATTTTTTTAGTTTCTACTTTAACCAACTCTCATACACTGAATCATACTGACTTTAAAAGTATTTATAATTTATATTGAATTGTGCATAAAAAACATAATGGCCAGAGGGATCAATTTTTTACATACCATTGTGGCAGCCAAGGTGTTAATTTATTAATGGTTTGTATTCCCAACAGAAAATAGTAAATTGCATATAAACTTACCTTAAGTGCTAATAGTAACAAAAATGTCTCCACACTATAGAAACCTCTATCTACAAAATCACCCATAAACAAATAATTGGTTTCAGGTACATCTCCACCCACTTTGAAAAGTTCTTTTAAGTCATAAAACTGGCCATGTATATCTCCACATACCTAAAATAGTTTAACAATACAAGTTACAAATATAAAACAGTTTTGAAATACAATTAAAAGTAATTACAAGTAGAATTATGTTTATTTGTAAATTTCGCATGGCTCCATTTAATATGCAATGTATGCTCTAGGAAGAAAGGTTCTGTATAAACAATAATATAAATCAAATGAGATCGTAGGCTTCCACGGCCAGAGTCAGAATTATAAATTTATTCATCTTCCGGGTTTGGACCGTGTCATTTGTAAGTGACCCAAAAGTGGGTTCATCTCGACGTTTCGCTACAATTGTATGTAGCTTCTTCAGGAGAACAAAGAAAAAGAAAAAGAAACCAAAAGACAGTATTCACTCCCCGCCTCTCGACGCGTTAGTGTTCTGAGCTGTTGGACGTGAATCCCTGTCCTGGCATTTGGTTTTCACCTCTGGCTGCGTTGAGTAGTTGAGTTACTGTGACCAAATGCCCATCTTGGTAGTTAGTATTCGCCTCTGGTTGCGTTGAGTAACTGAGTTACCGTTGCTAACTACCCATCTTCCTGTCTTTTGGTTTCTTTTTCTTTGTTCTCCTGAAGAAGCTACATACAATTGTAGCGAAACGTCGAGATGAACCCACTTTTGGGTCACTCACAAATGACACGGTCCAAACCCGGAAGACGAATAAAATAATAATATAAATCTATATAATACAATTTTTTTCTATATAAACATCTGGATGTCAAAATATTTATTTGTGATTATTATGGAATTTGGCAATGGTTAAACATAAATTGGAGACTCTTCATTTTCTCTCCAAAAATGGAGGTTGTGAAGAAATAAATAAATTCAATCTTTGGATAGTAATCAAGGCTCTGTAGTTATGTTATATTTTGTTTAACACTTTTTCTGTGGACACCGCTATACATTTTTCTCAAACTGTGCTGATGACACAATTGGTATTATTTGCAGATTACATTTATTTCAAAAGTTAATGCAGCACAGAAGATGGTTAAAAGATAAAATTACATAACAATAGTGTTAATTTGTGTTTTGAGAAAATTTCTGCAGTTAAAATCAAAATGTCAAATATAACATATTTTCTACTGAACATGTTACTCCCTGTGCACCCCTGTGACTTATATAGCTTGTTTTGTTTTTATTATGGACCATGCCTATACTTGGTTCGCTATTCCCAGTCCAAACTATCTAGTGAATTTAGTAATTATTTTTTTGTGGAGTTAGTTACTTTTTGACAGACTAAAAGTGACTGGAAATTACTATACGACCAAGCACATGTACTCATAGCCAATATTAATAGTAAACAAACTAAATAGTAAATAAAATAGAACTTTGCGAATTACTGACAATCAATATTTATTTATCTGCACCATATAGTAAATAGTTATATTAAATTATAACAACTAAAATATATTTTTTAAATACCCAAAATTTGATGGGTTTAGTATGCACTTTCACTATTTAGAATAATTCTTTTTTTTTTTCAAAGAAAGAAGTCTGCAATAGTAGTATACTTAAGCTATTAATATTGAGAAGTAGGAATTGTTGTGTTGTAGGTTTCCTACAATGAATCTGTCAAAATATGCCCGAGATAAGTGAATGGAGTTATACCATTTGGCCAATTCATTTAACATAAGGCCCAAGATAGAAAACAAATTCTTTACCTAATACATTACTAGAAAATCCTTCACCATACTAATGTAAACAAGAAGGCCTCAACATGTAATATACCTTTGTTAATGTTAGCATCTCTGCTAAGCATGAGTACAATATTGGCACAATACTTGTTGCTAGATAAAACATTAGCAGTCAAAGTGGAAGTAACACTGAAAATGCTTTGTTAGGTAGTAAACAAAAGGACCTTTCTTTGTACGCTTTGATCTTACATCTGCCATAGGTCAGAGTGCATTTCCATAACAATACTCATATACAAAATGGGCTGTAAATAAAGAAACAGTTTCTAACAGATGTTTGCCTCAATCAACCAACAGACACATATAATCTTGAATTGTAGAAAAAAGTACAGTACTCAAAACAATGATAGTATTTTAGCAATTAAATTACACCTTGATATGAAGAGTAAAAAATAATACTAATCTGAAAAATATGATAGGAATGACAGATAACTGCTGCACAATCTATGATATAAATAGTTGCTAAATGTAGATGAATAAATTTTATGTTGCTATATGATGCAAATATAATAAATACTTTTTCTCAATAGAAGAAACCAAGCATGATATAACACAGTAGTAAAGGAACAATTAGTACACACAGTAACAATGATAGTACATACAGTAAATCAATACAACAATGAAAAATAGTAAGATATGAATTTCTACTAAACACTCTAGTTTATACTCAATTGAGTTATGTTATATTAAAAGAGGTTGAACTAAAAACTTAGATATACAAACCAGAGTTTCAAATTTGTCTTGTATACTAATTTTTAGACATAGAAAAACATGAATAGCTAAGTTGTTTTGATACATAGTGACGTTATTATGTAAAAGAAAGTCATAAACTAACAAGAACTAAACTTACCGTAACTGGTGAATCCACCCTTTGTACATTACTTTCTTCCACCAGTATTTCCCTAGCTTTAGCACACAGGGCTTTGACCTCACTTTCCTTAATAACTTCACACCTTTTCAGTTGTTCTATCTGTCTATCCAAATCGCTAGTATCACCCATCTGAAGACAATAATGTATTTTATTATGAAATAATACAACAAATTAGTCTAAACTATGAAAACTATTGTGTAAGTACAGGTTATGTTGACAAAATATGGTTTAAGAGAGTTTAAGGTAACTTTAAACGATTTAAACACAGATATATCAGTATTATATTGATAAATACTACTAAATATCTAAGATAAAACGAAAAAACTTACTATTTTGTTAAATTTAAAGGCCCAGTACAGTGTTTTATATTTTCGTAAGATCAGTGGGCTACGACATACGGCAAGCAATAATTTTCCGTTTCACTAATACGCGACGCCACCAACGTACGTCGAGTTCCAAGAAGACGCCTTTAAATAAACAAGTTTTCCAGTAAAATTATCGAGTTTTTTACTCACTTAAAAAACTAATTAACAAAAAACGTACACTAAGATTAATATGTTTCAATCAAACGCTGCGATGATTATAAAAAATAAATTATAAAAAAAGTGACTCATTGGGATGTCATTATTTTAACTCATTTAATACGCATGCGTTAGATTACAAGGGCAAGTCGATATCTTTTCAGTTCCCCAGTCTAGAGTGCCTGTTACATTTTCTTTGTAGGTCAAAACGAGAAGGGTGTGAAATGGATGTTTATTAATATAAATAGGTTAAATTAAAATAATCATGACGTACGCTTCTGTTATATAAATGCTTAAATGTAATATAAGAACAACGCGAATTTCTTTTGGTTTAACAAATAATAAACTCTTCTTGGAGCAATTTTTAATCATTTGTATAGTCCCTTCACTCAGCTTGGGTATATTTTGACAGCTTTATTGTCGGAAAGATACAACACAAAAATTCCTACCTGTCGCTTTTAATAGAAGAAAAGTAATAGATGGAAAAAAATGGTTTTAAGTGGTATAAAACTACGTTTTTCTCTTTGAACTCACATAGTTCAAAAAATCTTATTGCTTCGTCTACCAGGTCCAAAGGCTTATTCTTCGAATACACCAGAAGAGACTTTGGCTTGGAAACTCTTTCTCAGCGACTCAATGATAGACTACCTATATTATTTAATACACCAACCCAGAAATCTCTAAACAATCTACTAAATTTAATCTAATTCCAAGTTCTACAACTGTTACAAACAAAAAAAGCAGTAGTGAATGCCCAATTTTAGTGCAACAATGTCTCAAAAACCCTTTAAATATTGTCTTCGTTTTGATGCCAAAACAATTAGAGACGAAACGAAACGTGATAATAGATTTGCACCTATAAGAGTGAAAGGAAATTCTTTGTCAAATAGACCTCGCTGGCGTGCAGAACAATTTTTTTCTCGGTTACATAGACCGAGACGGCAGGCAATGTGTTAAGGAGCCTAATTTTTGTTTCTAAGGTGAGTTCATGGCTCTTGAACACAGAGCTCCTAAAAAAGAATGCATTTATATGTGTTCTGCAATACCATATATGGAAAAAGAGAGAAGAGATGGATCAGAAGCTTTTTCCACCCAATACTTTCTTCGCATATGTAAAAAATCTCTATGGTATTAATAGAAATGTCACCATGGAAAATTGGTTTTCGTCCCCAAATCTTGTAGAAAAGCTTTTACATTACTTTAAAGTAAAGGTTTACAAAAAGAAGTTCACAATGGTTTGGGTTGGGACCTTAAGAAAAAACAAATCTGACATTCCACCAGAGTTTCTTAAAAAGAAAAAGTTCCGTATTCTGTGATAGTGACTAGAAAAACTCGTCGGTCGCCTCTTCTCTTAAAGTTTTTTATGGCATTCTTGATGGTGCAGATATTATTGCTTATGTTATTTATAGCGCAAACAGAATCAAATCAGATCCGAAATAAAAAATTACTCCCAGGAAAGATTCTCTTAGGCATTTAGCACTACACTTAGTGACTCTGCAAGTAAAAAAGAGATTAGAAATACCAACTTTGTCCAGATTTTTGCGCTCCATAATTTTTTATGTTCTTGGTCAAAAGGAACAAGGAAGCCAGTACTCAGAAATCAAGAAACTCAACCTCCAACCCACAAAATATGTCAAGTTTGCCTTAGATCTGCCAAGAGAAATGGTAGAGACCTGTGCGTCCGCTGCAAAGCTTGGCTGTGAACTTAACACAGAAGACCAATCTCTCCAACTTGTACCAAAGAAATTTGATTTTTTTTGTTATAAGCGTGTTCTTTTCTACTTCTTTAGAATCTTTTTCTATAATTTTGCACAATAAAAAATGTAAAATATACTTGTATTTTTGATTACTTGGCATAAATTAAAAAAACATCTGTGGTGTCATATATGACATCAAGTTATCACTAATGACCTAAAAAATATCGACAGCTTCTAGGGTTATTACTGGCAGTTTTTCTTTTAAAATCTTATGTGTCTTGAAGGCTCTGGGATTTTCTGAATGGTACAGTGAAAGAGGTTTTATTTTACGATCACCACTCGCATTGGCGCAAAGTAGTAGTTAATCTATCTTTCATAGGATTGTAACCTATCATCGTTTTCTCCTCTGCCGTTATGTAAGTCCTATTCATCATCTTTTTCCAGAAAAGCTCTGTCTCGTCACAGTTGAAGACTTGCTGGGGGATGTATCCTTTGGCTTCTATCAGTTCGAAAACCGTTTTGATGTAAACCTCAGCTGCTTTCACATCCGAACTTGCTGCCTCACCATACCTGACGGCAGAGTGAATGCCGGTCCTTTTTTTAAAGTTGCCAAACCAGCCCCGACTGACTTTAAACGAGTCTTCCGATTCATCATTTGTGGAAGTGTGTGGGATCTGCTTCAGCAAATCTTCGTAAATCGCTCGTGCCTTCTCACATATGATGGCTTTGTGTTAAGGTTCCTCCTTGAAGCTACTTCTCTGTCACCCACACCATTAGTAGTTTCTCCATCTTTTCATGGAGAGAAGTTCGGAGCTTAGAAATTATTGTAACGCCCTTAGCTAGCATTATACCATTTACCACAACTTTCCGTTTAAGTACTGTATATATCATTGATGTGGTACGCCCGTATATTCTCGCCAAGTCAGTTACTCGTGCACCTTGTTTATGTTTTTTTAATAATTTCACGTTTTAGTTCAATAGGCATCATCTTCTTCTTCGAACCCATGGTTGTAAAAATAAATGTAATATTGTAATGTACAAAAAGCACAAAAAGCGAACCCAACTTATCAACAATACTTCGAAAATGAGGGAAACAAGCAAAGCAGACAGACTGAGGTCTATAGTAAAGATTTACACAGTGTAAATTACACCGACACCAAGAGTGCAATATAGTTAGTATTAGAATCAGAATTTTTGTCGGATTTAACTTTCAATGACCATTTAATTTGTCGGTTCAAGTAATAATCACGTACAGACCCGTAAAATGATCTTTATGGCGAGGCCATAAAGATCTATTACTAGTAAAACTTCTATCTTTTATTTATAAATTAAATTAGAAGTAGTCAAATAAGAGGTATGAATTTGAATAAAAACCGATTCCTCGTATCTCAAATCTTGCTCTCATCTCAAAGCAAAATATCGCTCGCTCCGCGGCTCATATCTCAAAACACTCGTGTATTAGGGAGCTCGTATATCAAGGTACCACTGTATATACTTATTGAGACCTGCATTCAAAACTCAGTAAAGACAAAAACTTTGTCATTTGACAGCAGACCACGAGAGCACTGTTTCAAAGTTCTAAACTTTTATAAAGCTGCTTTTTTAAACTGATTTTAACACACACACACACACACACACACACACACACACACACACACACACCACACACACACACACAACACAATTTAGTAAATAAATTTTAAGAAAAAGAAGAACTAAGAGAATTATTGTTGATTGTTGAATTTGGATATTTATTATTTGTATTATATATTACAATAATGTAAGTATATTAACAATTTACAGTTTTTACAAAAAGTTCAAGAATGACTGAATACGATATATTTAGTTCATGCCTTTTTGAAGTAGCATTTACTTTTTAAGTCCTCTTTTTTCCTAGTGCATAGACTCTAGTGCATATTCATGGCTATCTTAATGAGCTCGATATGGACACAATTGATTACTTCTGCATATGAACAAAAAAACATTGCTCAAAAAAAGTTATTTACTACAGACAGAATAATGCCATTGACTATCTTAGCATTCACAAACGAAACATTTTTGAAGTCACCAGTTGCCAAGAACAGGCTTTTTCCTTGTTTTTTACAACCTGAAAAGTGGTTTTTCTGGTAATCACTAATCCACCATTATTTTTTAAGTTTACTAACCTGCTAAATTTGCAAACAGAAGCATCAGAATTATTGAATTGTGGTTTAAATAAACATTGAATACAATCTAAACACATAAGTTTGAAAATAATATTGCTAATAATAAATCTTCACATATAAAAAAGGATTAAATCCTTTAACTTAGATTTCTTTTGCCCAACAATACAATGTTAAACTCTTCCAGAAGTAGACCTATTTAGTTTTTATTTCATTATATTCACAGGGTATTCTATTCATTCTCCACCCCTAGCTCTTTAAACCAGTGACAAAGTCATTGTGTTACGGCTGCCACTTTTAGGGGGTGATAGGATGTCATTTCAAATTATAATTATTGAAGATTTTAAGCATGAATTCGCTTTGATACTCACCGAAATACATGTTATGTCTTGAAATTTCTTGTTATAAAAAGTACAACCCAATTCAATGCATGATCGAAGCATTTTTATACATGTTGTTCCGAAACCATTCTCTTAATGCCATTTAATTTTGTCATTTCAAATTATAATATTGAAGATTTTAAGCATGAATTCGCTTTGATACTCACCGAAATACATGTTATGTCTTGAAATTTCTTGTTATAAAAAGTACAACCCAATTCAATGCATGATCGAAGCATTTTTATACATGTTGTTCCGAAACCATTCTCTTAATGCCATTTAATTTTGTCATTTCAAATTATAATATTGAAGATTTTAAGCATGAATTCGCTTTGATACTCACCGAAATACATGTTATGTCTTGAAATTTCTTGTTATAAAAAGTACAACCCAATTCAATGCATGATCGAAGCATTTTTATACATGTTGTTCCGAAACCATTCTCTTAATGCCATTTACTATCTTATTGGGACTACTTATTGTATTTTGAAAACTATTTATTATTATATTATGCAGATAACATTCTCAATACAACAGCCAAGAAATACAATATGATAATAATATCAGCAGAAAAAACCAAATGCATGACAACATCTAAATACCTACTACGATGTAAAATCGAAATTGATGGAAAAA